TATCACCACATTTTACATATTTCGCGTGACCAATCAGGGGTAAATTTGTCACATCGGGAGAAATGGCGAGCTGAATTTTCGATTTTATACTTGATTTACCAATTCTGCTATTTGCCTATCAACCAAACTATGAAATAAAAAAATGCTGATCCATTCAAATGATTACTGAATGAGTTGATAGTTTGTTTCCCACATTCTTGACAAAGTTTTTGAAGCCAAATACCTCTACAAATGTTCCATAGTCTCTAAAAGTTTCTCTTCTCTAGTCTTCAAATCCAATTATTTTTCTTTAAAAATCCCAATTGAGAACTCAGTAGTCTATCTTGATCCTACTCCTCGATTTGATGCTTTTCTTGGATTTGATCAATCAGACCAACTAATTTGACTGGTTGAACCACAAACCGACCCTAGCATTGGTTCAATTCACTAGTCAACCGAAAAAATTATTTGAACTTGTCAAGAATCGATCAAAATTAGTAAAAATTAGTAAAAAATTCATCCTAAATTTTATTTTTTCTAAACTTTAAAGTCATTTAATTTACATAATAAATAAAAAATTAAAAAAGGAAAAATAATTGAATCCAGGTCAATTTATTTAGCTTTAAGAGATAAAAGACTCAAAAGATACAAAACTTCATTATTAGCCATGATTCAAACAAATGTATGTAACAGACCAATATATGTGTGCCCCTGGATTTTTCTATAGATACGACTGAGCCTCATGTTTTGAATTCTATGGTATTAGACATTCATTTACAAGGAGATGAATTTGATAAACAAAGTAAAAATTTTGCTATAATTTGCAGGATGTACTGTAGACCTTTATCGTCACAATTAAATCCAAAATTTATAATGACTCCACCCTAAAAGACGACACAGTAATACTCAAAGTAGAAACAGATAGACCAACGGTATATACACCTAAAAGCTTAAAATGGAATGAAATCACAGTACCTACTGAATTTCCAATACAAAACCCTCGTGTTCCAAGAAACTTAGAAAGAATAGAAACAGAACGAATAATAAAGAATCAGATGGAAAGTATTTATCAAATTTCCCTGTTATAGAGAAAGACCATCAACCTCTTCAAATTTTTCATGGATGCCAGCTAGACAATCCTATTTTGATTCTATTGAATTTGTATGCTCGGTTGAAAATAATTCAGCATTCAAGTTTAAAACGCCAGTACTTGAAGTAATACATCAAAATCAATCTGATTATTCACCAACACATTCACAAATGAAAGGAGAAATAAATGTTATAAATAAAACTAATTTTAAAATTAATTATAAATATTTATAAGAAGATTTTGACGATGAAGAAAATCCAAATAAAAGGATTTGGTTTGTTCAGTTATCACCATTATGTAGAAAAAACTTGAAAGAGGAACGGAAAAATGAACTAAAAGAAAGAAAGTTTAATTTGCCTTCCTCCACATGGTTGACGTTTTATACTTCAAAAATATGACTATATAATATATATGACAAACCACAAATAAATGTGCAAACTAATTATATAGAAAGTGGAATTTGAAAGATAATCAAGTAGTTACAGCTATTCATCCCCCATTACAAGAAATTAGAATAAACACTACTAAAGGAGATATAACGGCATCACCATTTAAAAAGGGGAGAGAAGCAGAATCAAGCACAAATACAAATTTAAATCTAGAAGATATTAAAAAACTATATCATCAAAATAATTTTACAAATCAAATATTTCATACTATATCTCAGCATGTAGAAGTATTAAATACTAAAGTAGATAGCATTCCAAAACCACCTATGAGATTCCCCAATGATATATCAGCTCCCCACTTTCAACCTAGAAGTCTTCCAAGAGATAGTGAGCAAGAGTTAGTACAAAATGTAAACCCAACTAGTACCATACTTAATAGAATATCTCAAACATTTCAATATCTAACAAATACTTCGAGAATTAATACAATGGATGGAGGAATTGTATGTGAAGAAATAACATCAGAAGAATAGAAATCCACAGAAGAATCTTCAAAAGAAATAGATATGATAACTCCAATAGAACAACAATTTAAAGAAAATGATGGTAATCAAATAAATAGAATAAAAAGAAGAAAGAATTTTGAAAGCAAAAGAGATTGAAAAATAATAGATACAAGAAATTACTACCCTAGACCAAGTCCACTTGATATTCAATATGAAGAAAGATCAAAATTTCATACTGCAAATTATGATGGAGACTCGATATATGAATAGAATATGGATGGAAAAGCAGAATATGAAGTATTAAAGACACTTCAAGAAATGGGTATGGCTAGGTTAGCCTACGAACTGAAAAATATTCAAGAAAGAAATGTTGCAAATTTATTAGTATCCGGATTTATAGGGCAATTAAAAAATTGGAGGGATAATGCTCTAACTCTCCAAGATAAACTTGCAATTTTTGATCATACTATAGAAGTTGAAGATACTGAAGGAAATATTCAAGTGCAATGAGATGCAGCAGAATTTATAGTGAAACCATGTTTACACTGGACGGATGCAATCACATACAACCAAGAATCCGTGTACGAAAAGGTGGAAACCCCAACCGATCCATCCTAATATCCCCCCTGACCAATCGTGGTAGATGCAAAAACCTGTTGAACACTTGTCCTGCACTAGAGTCGGCACCAAAATTTGCAAGACGATCAGCCGGTGCATTTGCCTCCCTATAACAGTGTGATATCATGTGAAAATACTGTTTGAACATAAGCAACTCATCCAGATCCCTTTGCAATCGCCATGGGCACGCACTAATCCCTTGAACGACCTGAATCAGGGTGAGAGAGTCAGCCTCTAAGTGTAACTCCAAGCACCCTCGAGCCACACAGTGTTTAATGCTAAGCAGCAGCGCTCGAAGTGCCGCCTGCAGGCTGGTCATTGTCCCGAAGTGCTCCGAATAACCAAACACAAAATTTCCTTGTGTAAGGATCGCAGACAACCTAAGAGGGGGTGAATTAGGTTGATTATAAAACTAATCAAGTTATGGGCACTTTTTGCTCAATATGAAATTTATCCTCTTTTCTTAAGTGATCACACAATGAATCAATCAATGAAGGAACAATATCACTTGAGAGAAGTAGAAGATATAAGCAATTTAAAGATCACATGATAACAATAAGTAACTAAGAAGGGAAGAATTACAAACCAATTGACTACCAAGCTCCTCTTGAGCTTGTAGGTCAATTCAAGCAAGTTTCTTCAAATTGATGAAATACAACCAATCTTGTGTACAAAGGAAGGCTCACTTCCTCCTTGCCCCAAGTCTCACTCAGTCAAACTAGAAAGTTTTACTATCCCTCAAGACAACCCTCTCAGAGCTACACTATTGAAGTATTCACTCACAAATGAAAAGCTTCTAATGAACTTCACACCACCAAGACTACAAATCTTCATTGGTGAGTGTTTTCTCACTAAAACTACTCTAGATCTTTTGTATCTTCAGTATGCAAAAGTTATTTGGAGTTTCTGACCATACTCTATTTATAGGAGACCAAGAAAGTGATTCATTAATGCTTCCAACGGATAGAAAGTAGCTGAAGAGTCAACTAGCCGTTGGGAGTGTCGGACGTTCGGTACTCCTATTTTTTGCTTCCGACAGTAGGCAGTGAATTTGAGAAATTTTCTTCAATTCTATCGGACAGCCGGTATTGTCTTTGTGAGCGTCCGACAGCTTTCGTCGAGTTTGAAGGATCCTATCGAACGTCCGGTACTTCCGTCCGATAGCAGACAAAGAGTTTGAAGGATTCTATCGGACGTCTGATGCTTGCGTCCAATCGAGGTCAGTGAGTTAGGGGGAATGTCTTATTTCCTTCGGACGTCCGGTGATGGAATTCCTCATGCGTCCGAAGTTGTGCAACGATTATCGGACGTCCGATCCTGTTTTCACAAGCGTCCGACAGTTTTCAGTAACTTTTGTTTCTTTCAATTGCACTTGATCTTTGAATCTGATTTGCTTCATAACTGAAAGTATATCTTGAAAAGATATTAGTATCATCTAATTGTTTTGTAAACATCAAAAGTTAGGGACTAAGATCAACACCTTGACAATCACGCACTAGACCACCCCTACCACTCCATCCTGGGTTCCCCTGAGAGCATTCATCTGAATTTAACTTATAGCCCCCTGCGGGGCTACCCAGTTGACTGGCTGAATAACCATCATCTTTTGTCGATTACCCAACTCGCGAAGCATCCCTTCCCATGAGGGATCTGAACACTGCAACCTTGGGAACTGTGCATGAAAGATGTCATGCAGCAGCTGGACTATCCGACACACCGTCTCCCTGACCCTCATCCTTCGTCCTTCAAAAACCCCCTCATTCCTTGCCATCCATAATTCCTAGCAAATCATCGACGGAAGAATATTATTCAAAAACTTCAGATAGACATTATTCCCCCTCCTTAATCAGCAGGACCACACCATATGTCGTACCGTATTCACCCCACACAATTCTCCCGCAGTAATCTCGAAATGCTGCCAAACCAATCTTGCCCCTTCCCCTGAACAAAACACGTGCTTTAGGTCCTCCTCCCGTGGATCCTGGCAAAACCAGCATTTAGAGGGACCACGCACCCCAAATCTCTTTAATTGGTCCATAAGAGGGAGCCTCTCCTACAGCAGTCGCAACATAAATAAAGAGATCTTTAATGGAAGACCCTTCTGCCATATAAAGGCAGAAAACCATGAGCTGTTATGGACCTGTCGGACAAGCGAGTATGCCGATAATGTGGAGAAGGTACCCGAATTTGTCACTGTACACACCATTCTATCCTTGCGCCGACTGGGTGGGGAGTCAACCATCAAAACTTGCTTGACCAGATCCTCATCCAAATACTGATGAAGCATAGCAACCTTCCAGGCCCCCCGATCGACAAAATCAGCCACCAAATGATCGTGGAAGGTCTCCACCTTGTTGCATAACACTCCTGATCCCATCCAGTTGTCGTGCCAAAAATCCATCAAACTTGTTGTACGATCTAGCTAATGTTATCCTCCCCTACTCGCTGCACCACCACCATTCTCCGCCATGTATGGGATCTCTGATGCCCTTCATCAGCTAGACAAGGGTGCTGCCCTGCACAATATTTCCTTGACATAAACTCTGCCCATAGTGACTGTTGTTGCCTAAATTTTCACCAGAGTTTAATGGAAAATGAGTCGTAGACCTCTTTCAATCCCACAAACCAACACCCCCTCTTCCCGCGGCCGAGACAAATCCTCCCATCGCATCCAATGGAATTTATCTTCAGAATCCGACGACCCCCACAAGAAATTAGTGAATAACTTCTCCAGTGCCATTAATATCCCCTTTGGAGGAGAAGCAGCTGCGAGCAAATGAATCGGCATTGAGGATAACACACTCTTAATCAATACCACTCTACCCCCAACTGACAAAATCTGATTCTTCCATGACAGGATCCGGGCCGCCACCGCATTGCATGTATCGGCATAATAGACCTTTTTCCGCCTTCCAACGTACAACGGGCATCCTAGATATCGTATAGGAAAAGCTCATTTATGAAACCCAAGTACCTATCCAACCACCGCTGCCCTCTGTGATGGAGTCCGCGGATGAGTCAGGAAACAATTTTTTTGGGGATTGAGCCGCTGACCCGATGCAACACTATAGTCATCCAGAACCCTTTTAACTAATTTTAAAGAAGATCTCCCACCACTGGTAAAGATGATCACATTATCGGCGAACGCCAAGTGCCATACTACAGGACACTGAGGAAGTACTCTAAAAGGGGTATAGCCCCTCTGTGTGACTAATGCATTTAGGGCTCGAGACAGCACCTCTGCTCTAATAATGAATAAGATCGGCGAAATGGGATCACCTTGTCATAAACCTCGTGAGGACTTGACAAAATCTTGTGGAGCTCCATTAACCAATACCGAAAACCAGACATTAGAGATTAGGCGCCATATCATGTCTATCCAGATCTCATTGAACCCGAAATGTCGAAGCACCTGTCGGAGAAAAGACCATGAGACTCTATCATAAGCTTTCATCATGTCTAGTTTGATGACCACGTTACTACCCCAATTTGATTTCTTGATATCCGTTAATAACTCCTGACCAGCAAGAAATTATCTGCAATCTGTCTCCCTTGTACAAAATCGCTCTGCTGTGGAGATATGAGCTGGGGTAATAGCGTAGCCAATCTTGCCGATAAAAGCTTGGAGATGATTTTGTTTGCAAAATTGCACAGACTAATCGGCCGAAACTGAGTGAAGACTTGAGGGTTTTCCACCTTGGGCAACAGAACAATCGAGGTAGCCGTGATACTCCTAGGGAGCTCCGTACCGTAGAAAAAACTCACTACTTATACACATCCAAGGCCACCACCTCCCATGCGAAGGTAAAGAATTTCCCTGTGAACCCGTCCGGGCCCGCTGCACTCTCCTCATCCATGGCAAAGACTGTGGTCTTGACTTTTGTAAGAGAGGGAATCTCCGTTAACAGTGAATTGTCCTGGTTAGTGACCAGTTTCGGAATAATCTCCGGAATGGCATTGGATGTTGAGTTCCCCTTTGCCATGAAAAGCTCCTGGAAGAACCTCACGGCAATATCACCAATCTGTGGCTCCCCCTCGATCCACTCTCCATCAGTCTTCCTAACCCTATGAATCACTGCCCTACGTCTCTTTTCTGCTACCAATGAGTGAAAGTACTTAGAGTTCCTATCTCCATCCAAAAGCCACTTCACCTGCGCTTTTTGCCTCCAAAAGCCCTCCTCAATTGCCAGCGCACGCCGTAACTGCGCTCGAGCATGATATAGTTCACAACGCAGATGATCAGTCGGGTCCAGGTCATACTTCATCTCGGCATCAACTACCTCGTGCTCTATGCGACGGGCTCCTTAAAAAATATCACCAAACGACATCCTAGACCATTGTTTAAGAGCTTGTTTAACATTCCTCATCTTCGTGGTAGTATATGCAAGGGAGAACCACTAATTGACTGAAACCAGCAATCTTTAATAGCCCCTAACAAGTTGTGATGAGTGGTCCAGACATTCAAAAAGTGAAATGGCATGGGTTTATTGTCCAGCCTCGTAACCACTGATAGTAACAACGGAGAATGGTTGGACGGATCACGGACCAAATGTTGAACCATGACTTGGTGCTGCAGCTCCAAAGCACGCCCACTTAGTAGTAATCTGTCAAGACGCTTCCAAATCCGAGCAGCCCCCGAGCGATTATTGCACCAGGTATACCTTGATCCAGAGAATCCCGCATCGCTTACTCCAGCCACTGACATGAAATTCAAAAAATCCAACACTTCCGACGGTCTGAATGGCAAACCGCCCCTTTTCTCCCCCTCATTTATGACCATATTGAAATCTCTCACCAAAAGTCACGGATTCAAGGTAGGCTTATCTCGCAATAAGGCACTCCACAACTCCTCCCTTTCTTGGTCCGTACACTTAGCATGTATACATGACAAAATAATGGAATCTTTAAAAAGGTGAGATTGTACTTGAATAGTTAAATGTTGGGACGACTCCCCAACAGTCTGACAATTAAACAAAGACCGGTAAAACACCCAAATAGAACCCCATTGATTGGTTATGCAACAATCCATCCCCAACTTTAATCTAATATCAGTAATAGTCTCCAACCTCATCTTAGGTTCAACAATAACCACCAATTGTAGTGTATACAGTTTAATAAGTTTTCTCAGCCGTTTTAAGTTAGGAGCTCGAGCCACTCCCCTTATATTCCAAAACAGTAACTTAATCATCAGAGAGCACAGAGAAAGTATTTGTTGAGAAACTAACCATAGATTTTAGAGTTCTATCAGAAGGGAAACCCGCACGAAGACCTCGCGACTTTGCAGCAAGTCCCTCCTTACGACCCACATCCTCTTGCGCATGACTGCTAAAGATCACCATCGTGTCTATATGCAACATCTCCAGCAGTGACACCTCCCCTCTAACATGATCCCTGAGACACCTGCCCCTAGGAGACAATTACTCACCCGTCACTGAGTTTCCTGTATGTTGTCAGCCATCGCTTTGTCCGCTGAAGACCTTGCTGGCGCTCAGTAGCTTGCGCCACAACGACCCACTTGGTCATCCTCTTTCCCCCAGACTTGATACTTTTCCCGCCTGCCCCAGGCATTGGCACCTCCACCCTAGCGCTTACCTCTTCGACCACAGCTATTTCCTTACTGTCAGCCGCTATACTCTTCTCCTTCTCCAAGATTGGAAGCATATCTGTGGTGGGTTGTCGACCCTGTTCAACTTGAACTCCCTCATCCCTCAGTTCATTGTCCTGCGCCCCCTAGTATCCTGCATACCGCATTTAGCAAGCCGGTTGGGTATCATCCTTACCTCAGGATCAGCCGCCATCTCCTGAAACATCAAGGAAGACCTTTCCCCAATGCCTTCCACTGGCACCTTACCTTGGTCACCTGTGGCAGCAGACGCCTTCAGCTGAAACTCCATTGTCCTAGTTGTCTTGGCATGCTGGCCTGTGGAACTCCGCAACTCAGGTTTCAGAACATGGCAGCTCTCCTCGTCGTGACCTTGGCGGAAGCAGTGCGAGCAATACCTAGGAGGATTTTCAACCACCAGCTCCTGCCAGAAACCCGCATGGTTACCATTCCCAATCCATACCCGCGAAGGTGTTGGTTTCAACATATCCACTTCCACATACACCCGCTGCACACTTGGCCTCGAGACAGCTAGGGTAGCCGCATCAACCAACAAGGGATTTCCCACAATGGAAGCAATCTGGAAAAGCACCTCTTTGTTGAAAAAATACAGCGGAAGTTTTGGTAGTTGGAGCCACAACGGAACAACCGATGACTCCCTATCAACATGGAAAGCTGTTGTCCATTTGAATACTCTCATAGGGATAGAAGACACATACCATATCCTCTAAACCATACACGATGAAAATCAGGTTTGTTGTGCAACTGAATCAGAACATGTTGTGCGTCAAGCAAGCCCACGGTGGGTCTCTCTCGCAGATCCAATGACGAAAAGAACTTTCGCACCTCCTCCATCTTCAGTCTGCCTCTGGAAAATTTACCAACCAATGCAAATCGATACGGACTAGCTAAAGTTTCCACTACTGCCTGCGAAAATATAACCGCTGGCTCCTCTTTGTGCGTAGCCTCCTCTGCCGCAATGGAAAGTGAAGGTTGAGATGAATTCTGCAAGAAGAGCTCAGAAAATGACTTGCGTTGGAATGTAGGGGAGACGGGATATCCCCCAGCAGGTGGCCGGAGGGCTGCCATGGCCGGCCGCACCACCCCCTAGCACTAGCCGTACCCCTATACGAAACCCTAGTGCCGTAGCCCTCATCTTGTGTGTAGTCCAGTGGTAACAGTAACACTTGTAATGTACTTTGTAGGAAACCCAAAAAAAGAATTAAATGCAAATAAAACATTTTAAACAAATTTAAGATGTCCAATTTTATTAGATTTTAGATGGTATAAAGATATGTTTTTAACTAATGTATTAAGAAGACCAGATTGTTATGCCTCGTTTTGGAAAGAAAGATTCATGACTGAACAACCAAATTTATTTTCCCAACGAATTATGAACAATTTACAAAAAGAAATGGGAACTGAAGTTATTTTCTTTCGTTAAAAAAGAAGGATTAACTTTATGTTCTGAATTAAAACTTCAAATTAAATACGGGTTAGAAAGAAAAGACATAGGATCATTTTGTGAAACTTTTGGTATTAAAAGAATAAAATCTCCATGGTCAACAAATGAAAAGAAGTATAAAAGTAAAAAATTATAGAAAATATGAGAAAAATATTAGTAATGAACCTTATTATAAAAAGCAAAACGAAGGGAAATTCAAGAGAAATAAGATTGTATATTGGAAATGTGGAAAAATAGGTCATAAAGTAGACAAATGCAAACTAAAAAAAAAGGATAAATGAAATATGTGCAGAAGAAAATGAAATTAAAAATAAGTTAATAGCTTTATTAATAAATGACAAAGAGTAAGATGCAGAAGATGACTATTATAATGATTTAATTAGTTCAGAAGAACAAGAAAATTGTAATTGTTCAGGTTCATCTAAATATATAAATGTCATTACAAAAAAGGTAGATAAAGAATTCTTACTAGATATTATACAAAAAATAAATGACCCTAAAACTAAAGAAGAATACTTAGAAAGATTACAAGATTTAATTCTACAGAAGCGTAAAACGCCAAAAATAATAGAATTCTTTAGTATTTCAAAGCTAATAGATAAATACCCAACAATGAATAGTATTAAAAAAGAAACTACTAAAGATCTTCAGGCAGAAATTAATAATTTAAAAATACAAATGAAACAATTACAAAATGAAATATTAGAATTAAAAACAAAAGATTTTGAAATTGAAGCAAGAATGTCATTATTAAAACCTCAACTTTTAGAACAACCCTCTACATAAAAAACAAATGAAATAATTATCCCTGATAACCTAATAGATGAAAAGCAATATTTAAATATAATAGAGAAAATAACATTTCAAAAATGGTATGCTTTAGTAACAGTAATGGTAGAAGATTTCAAAAAAACATTTGTAGCCCTATTAGACAGTGGAGCAAAATGAATGGCCAACTGAAAATCAGTATCCATGGCCGGATACCTCACTGAACGAAGTAATCCGGTAGTTATCTGGATTACGAGTTAGTTATACAGATTACTGAATAGTAACCCGGATTTTTCTTCTTGAATGTAATTTATTTGTTGCTTTACATGTTGAATAGTGTTTATTGTCTTATAGAGGATTGTAATGTTGTTTTATTGGTGTTAAAAATCTAAAAGTTATAGTCTTTTCCATAATATTTATGTGAATTCCTTCACTTTCTACAGCAATAGGATATATTTGAATAAGGAAAGGTGTTCCTAAAATCATATGCATGTGAATTTTTTACTATAATAAAATTATGTCTTATACAATAATTATTATTACATATTAATCCTTTAGTAAATTTATATTTTACTTGCAATTTTTCTCCATTTGCAGCTAATAATTCTTCATTTGTTCTTTCACAATACTTTGTTCGGATTAATCCTTCTTTTATGCAACTTTGATTTGCTCCACTATCTAGTAGGGTTGTAGACACCAAAATTTCAAGTTTATTTAATTCAATTTTAGCTTTATTTTTTATTATTTATTCTTGCTTTTATTTGATTTGATTTGATTTGATTTTAGTTGATTAAGTTTGCAAAATGATAGTTAGTGTTTATTTATTGTAGCAAATTAAGTTCATCATTTTTTCTTTTTTAAACATTTTTGCATTAAATTTCTAAAAAAAAAAAGGAAAATTCTCAACAAAAATCTATTTTAAATTTTTTTCAAACTCAATTTCTTCCAAATAAAATGACATTTTTGTAAGGCAATCTCAATTAAGAATTAACATTTTATTTATCATAAATTGGTTTTGAAAAACAAAAAAATAACAAAATAAAAAGAAAATAGGTGGAGGCCATGCAAACTAACTAAGTGGGATGGGTAGGCATTAGACAAGTGTCCTTATTTCTTTGACACCACAACATGCAAGGGTATAGGTGGCTAGGACAGGTGGAGCTTTGGAAAAATCTGGAAAAAATCAAGAGGGGGAAGCTACGGGTAGAAAGAAAAAGGAACAAAGGGGGTTTCTCGGCTGAGAAAGACAGAGGAGAGGCTGCGGGAAAGGAACAAAAGCAAGAAAGGAAAGGCTGAGAGAGGGAAAAAACCAGGAGGAGAGTTTCGGGTAGTGAGGGAAAGCAAGAGGAAAAGGAAAGAAACTAGAAAAAAGGAAAAGAAAGAACGAAAGAGGAAGAAAAGAAGGGTTTCGGCAGAAAGCAAGGGATGAGAAAGGGAAGGGAGAAAGAGAGGAAGAAAGGAAAACAGAAGAGAAATGAAGGAGGAGGGGAAGTCTGGGAAATCAGGAAGAAAAACAGAGGAGACAACGAGATAGAAAATAGAAAAGTGCAGAAATTTTTCTGCAAAAAACCCATTACCAGGCTGGCGAACCAGCCCACTTTCTGGTCACATTCCGACCAAACCTCCAACCCTCAGAGTGAGATTTCATTTTCTGCACCATCTATGGATACCCATGAGCAACTTTTGTGAAGAAATCGCCTAGCAAAAACCCCTCCAAGACAGCCAAATCGAAGCTCCAAGTCACGGGTTCGCTCTTGCTGCACCCACTGTGACGAAATTTGCTTGACTTCATCTCACGAACCAGTCAGTATTTCTGGGGAGATTTCATGTTTGTTTGATCCCACAAACATTCTTAGGTAACCTTTGCTCCTCCTTTTGTTCGTTTTTCAGTTTTCATGAAGATTCAAGCTAGTTTTATGCGAGTTCTGAGTTTGTTTTGCTGTTG